ACATAATAATGAAAATGAATCGGTGTCAGAAGATGCTTTCTCGTCACGCGAGTCTCCCACGACCGGTACATGGCAACCTTTTCCTGACCTTTTCTAAGGTAATGAGAACCCAGATCCTCCTTCACAGCCAAGTAATGTCCTGCTTATGCTAAACATGGATCAAGTTGCCCAGGAATAGTGGACGTTGGCAGGCAGACATAAAAATAGACATACATACATACATACAAACAAAACACAAAATTGTATATACATGAATACACGTGTGTTTATGCCAGTAAAATTATGGACCACCTATTACCGCCTAGTTTATCCCACACAGACCAAGCGAGTGAGGTCTATCCCTCGCGAAGCCGAAAGAGAGAAACCGACCAGCTTCCCGGCGCGTGAGGCAGCGAGCGAAAAGCACAGCGTCGGAGAAAGTGATCCCGTGACGCCGCTTTTCCTTCCCTTTTCCCTTGCCATCCGTTGCCCGAATCCCGCTTACGGTCTACTGCCAACCTGCCTCCTCCCCCTCCCCCCTTTCCTCTCCCCTCAACCCTCACTCTCGCCATTCACAGCTTCTCACTCTACTCGTCTTCCTCTCTTCCGTTACTATGCTCTCCCCTGCCCCTCCCTCCCTCCCCGGCCCCGTCTCTCGAAGCCAGGACTGCTGCGTGTTCAAGTGGCGGGGCGGCGCTGGCTCAGGGGCCCCGGAAGCCCCTTATCTCCTCCTATCTCCCCGGCCAGAAGAGAAATAAGAAAGGAGTTACAGCGGCGCCGGTACTTTCGCAGGAGTTTTACGACGAGTCTTTGGGGAGAGATTTTTGCCTCAGGTGGACCTCGATCCCCGCGCGATACGCCCGGCGACGCGTCCTCGCCGACGGACGCACAGGTCGCAGATGCAATCACAGACAGAGGCGCGCGCGCGCACACACACACAACACAACACACACACACACACACACACACACACACACACACAACACACACACACACACACACAACACACACACACACACACGCACACACACGCACACGCACACGCACGCACGCACATGCAGAACCGTGGTCAGCATGGTCATAAATTTAAGACCAGGTCGTGGCCGTGCCCAGAGCGCCACTCGTCTACAGTGTAAGTTGTTTACCTTATTCGAGATATTTCTAAGGGCGCTCTCCTTCCTCTCGCGGGTCGCGACGAGGAGAGGCGCCCGACCGCAACACGTTCCTCTTAGAAATAGAAGGTGTAAAAGGAATGAAGAATTGGGCCCTGGCGACAGTCTGCTGTTCAAATGCCATTGAGAGAGGGTGAGGGAGAGGGAGAGGGAGAGGGAGAGGGAGAGGGAGAGGGAGGAAGGGAGAGGGAGAGGGAGAGGGAGGAGGAGTAGGAGTAGGAGAAGGGAGAGGGAGAGGAGAGGAGAGGGAGAGGGAGGAGGAGAGGGAGAGGGAGAGGGAGAGGGAAGGAGGAGTAGGAGAGGGAGAGGGAGGAGGAGTGGACAGGGAGGAGAGTGGGAGTTGAGAGGGAGGAGGAGAGGGAGTGGGAGTGGGAGAGGAGAGGGAGGAGGAGTGGGTGAGGGAGAGGAAGGACGAGAAGGAATATAAGAGGGAAAGGGAAAGGGAGAAGGATAGGCAAGGTGAAAGAGTGGGAGAGGGTGAGGAGGAACGATATGGAATAGGAGAAAGGGAGAGGGAGAGGAAGGACGATAAGGAAAGGGCGAGGGAGAGGGCGAGGGACGAGAAGGAAAGAGACAAAAAGAAGAGAAAAGGAGAGTATGTGTAAGGCACGGGTTGCAGGTAGAGAGAAGTACAAGGAATGCAAGAGAATGGGAAATACAAACGGAGAAGAATGCAACTAGAAGATAGATTTTGAAAAAAAAAAAAAAAGAAAATGAGGGAAAGCTGCACAGCAAGAGAATCCGCGAAGGAAGGGCTACCTGTTTGACCTCTGCACTGCGGAAAATGCGAAGGAAAAGGGTGATTCAGGGTTAAGGTTTCCACTGGGAATTTTGAACGTACGCGAGGTCACGCTGGTCATCAGGAATCGGTGATGTAAAGAAAAACATGTTGAGGGAGAAGAAGAATGCAAAGAAGAAGAAGACAACGAAGGCGAAGAAGAAGAAAATGAAAATTACGAAAAAGAAAGAAGACGACGAAGACATACAAGTAAAGACGAAAATGGTGAAGACGAGGAGCAACAACAACAAGAAAACAAAGACAACGACGACGAAGAAGAAGAAGAAAAAGAAAAAGAAGGAGATGATGATGATGAAGAAGACGAAGAAAAAAAGAAAAAGACGATGATGAAGACGAATAACAAACAAGAAAACGACAACGAAGACGAAGAAAAAGAAGGTGAAGAAAGAGAGAAAAAAAGAAAAGAAAACGATGAAAACGAAGAGGAAGACGAAATGAAGAAGAAGAAAATGATTGATTAAGACGAAGAACAAGAAAACAACAAGAAAACGGAGACGACGACGAAGGAGAATAAAAGAAAGGCGACGAAGGAAAAGATGATGATGAAGACGAAGAAGAAGACGGAGAAAAGAAGAATAAAAAAGGAGATGATGGTGATGAAGCCGAAGAAAAAAAGGAAGAATAAGAAAAACAAGAAGAACAATAAGGCAAAGAAAAGGAAAAAGTAGAGAAGGAATCAGAAGAAGTAAAAGGAAAAGAAAAAACAGGTGGAAGAGGGAAAAAAAGGAAAAGGAGGAAAAGAAGACGAGGGCCATTATGATAATGATGACGATGGTGCTTTCATGGTAATAATGATGATGATGTGGTGATGGTGGTGGTGGTTGATAATGATGATGTGATGATGACGAAATGATGTAATGATGTTGGTGGTGATAATAATGATGATGGTGGCGGTGGTGATGGTGATGGTGATGATGATGATGATGATGATGATGATAATGATGATGTAATAATGATGATGGAGATGATGGTGGTGGTGATAATGATAATGTATGATGATGATTTCATGGTGATGACTGCCGACGATGATGTAATGATGATGGTGATTTCGTGTTGGTGGTAATGTTGGTTAAGACGATGAATATGGTGAGAAAATAATAGTGAATACGATAAAGAAAATGAGAGAAGGGGAAATACGGCAAAAACAAAGTGAGCGCACAAGAATCAGAAGCCGGCACTCAAGAAACGGTCTGCCTAAGCACAGGTAGCCGACGTGCTCTTACCTGGTCTGTAATAACAAGGTCGTGAGATGAGCAAGGAGGATGACTCAGTTCTTGCTAGCTTCACCTCTCCTTTCTTCTCTTCTCTTTCCTATTCTTCTGCACTCCCTCTCCCTCCTCTTTTCCTTTCTCTTCCTTTCCCCTCCATCCCTCTTTCACCGCCGCCATTTGCGTGTAATGGCCTGTCTACGCCTTGTACAACACGAACAGCGTTCTCCAAACTCATTAAAAAAGGATATGTTCCCCCGCGCCATTTTTTTTTTTTTTTTTTTACCTTTCTGCCGCACATAGCCGGTGACATCTGGCATTCGGCGCCATGTTTACAATGCCTGTGCCATTGTAATTGCCACCTTGTCTTGTACCGGCAACGATGTTTTCATTCCAAACTTCCCGCCCGAATTTCCACTCCCGACAAATCACCCTCAACGAGCCGACCCGACATCTCCCCGCTGTCGGACAACTAACGGGAGACAACGATTACTTGTGACGGGATTTTTCTTCCCTTTGTTGTGAGAGATACAGAGGCGAAGGAATGTAAGGAACAAAGCAAAGGCAAGGTAAATAAGCGAGCCCGCGGAGAGACGCGACGGCGGGGGGGACTAAAGGAAAGACGAGATACTCCCTGTCCGATTTTCCTTGCGTGCTGTCATTCTCTCCCAAGACAAGGATTCTTTTGGAAATCTGCTGCAAAATATCAGCGTCTAGAACACGTGTGAAGTAACCGAAACAGTACCTGCCTGAGCACCAGTAAAAAGATAAGCAATCAGAATCATAATATCAACACCCAATTTATACCAATAAAATCAATTTCGTTGAGAAGTGATGTAAACATAATGCAGCTTCTCATACAAAACATTTACGTAAAGCTTCCAACAGATACCTTTTGACACAACATGACAGGAATAGGAACACGAGAGAGAAAACCCCAAACGCCCAGCAAGAAACCCCGCCCAATCTGAAGCCAATCTGATAAGAAGCGAGCGTGCAACCTGCAAGAAAAACGTCTGCAGAGAGGAGGCGAAAGTGAAGGAGGCGAAGAAGAGGCAAGACAATCTGGATTCCACGAACCGCGCTTGCGGACACCATAACCACTGTGACAGAAATAATATATAAATAACGCCAATACTAAAAACAACAGTAAATAAATACGATAATAATAACTAAACATATAACAATGATAATGGTAACATGATCATAAAGAATATAAAATAATAATAAGATAATACAAACCTAATCAACAATAATAACAATTGAAATAAAACAATCTTCAATAAATACAGCCTAAAAATCATTATACAAAAAATGAAAAGCTAAAATCATGTTATCGCAAAGCAATTAAAGAGCACAAACCCCAATCATTAGTTTAGTTAACGAATCTATGAAACAAATTACTTCTCGTCATATATCCCCTTCGTAACTCACCCGTTTCTAACCCGAAATATACATCAGCTCACTAGCCTCTCCTCACACGGTCCTGGGCCATAGGCAACTCCTGTTAAAATTTGGCCCCGATCGGCTTGGTAACTCGCCATGCAAGCCTTTACCACAAATCACCCTCATCTACTCTTGACTCACAACTTTCCCTCATCAGCCTTGATCTACTCCGAACACCCTGCCTCTATCCTTTCGCAACCAACCCAGCATCTACCCATCTACCCAAAATCTAAACAGTGCCAACCTGGTCATGAATTTCCACTACAGCCCGACACTTTTCGCGTAACCCCGCTGACAAACCAACTCCCCTGCACACGCGGCCAATAGCGAAATCTCCTCCGATCGACAGAGAGAACAACAGCAATAACAACATTTTGGATTGCAAGGCAGACTCAC